CCTAATTTTCTTCTCGACCTTGTTCTTTGTTACTTCTTTTCGCTTGCGTTGTTTCCGTTGAGGGTCGCGAACGTTGTTTAATACACTGCTCCGATTGACTGAATCATTCAAACCAAACGAGTTCTCAAAGTCTTCTATTAGTCTTTTCATCTCATCTCTTGCGGTTTTGAAAGACGAGTCTGTCTTTTATGCAACGTAGCATAACATACTTGCTATTGCACGTAGAGAAGCAAATCTTGCCATTTGCATTATTTCTGGAGGCACATTCAAATCAACAAAACTGGGTGCAGAAGCCTTCGTATCCTTAGTCCACCTACTTTGAATCAAAGACCCAGGCAAATATGTGTAATCCAAGTGCTTCAAAACGTGAAGTTGATGGCGACATGGAAGTCCAACGGTCTTGAATTTTTTGCAAGAGTAATTTAGGGTTTCAGTACGAGAATCAAAACTAATTTCAAATGTCCTATTTTTTTCTTTGTACTTTTTCAAATAAAAATATTGACATTCATCTGATAAGGACTGAATCTCTTCTTGAATCCGGTACAATGTCTCCCGTTGAAGTTCTTCTTGGAACACATAAAAAGATTCGCACGTAAAAATCTCAGAAGCATGACTTTCAAATTCAACCAGTTTTGTGATCTAGAAGGGCTTCGTATGGGAACTTAAGTAATCCACTTTCAACTCGTTCAGACGCATTATACTAATTCCATCTTCAATTGCACGAACAACATCTAAATAAGTCTTCTTGTGTTTAAGTGCAATTGCGAGTGAAGCATTCATAGACTCGTACCTTTGTGTTGAGCGAATATTAGCAAATAAATAATCGGTTAGATATGCTTGTGCCCATAAGTGCCGAGTATTTCCCTTCTCAATCACCCATGGATGATTTTCGACGTTGAATTCTGAAACAACTAAACGCCATTGAATATCAAATTCGTCGGTTGTCCACCAGGAAGCCATGCATTTTGAGAATGCTGCTGTAAATTTTGGGTCACCAATGTTATCTTGTGCATTCCAAGAAAGATGCTAAGAACATTATCTGTGCTTAGCATTAGGGATAATAGATTTGATAGCTCTCTGCATTGCCCTATCCCCATCGATGACAACTGAAATAGGCGATTTGTTCATCATGGCTTCTAAAAAATTATGTAGCACCCACTTGAAAGATTGAGACGTTTCTTCAGCGATTATGGCAGTAGCAAACACAATTGTGTTTTGGTGATGATTGACACTGACAATAGGCATAATTGGTCGACCATACAAATTATCTTTGTACGTTGTGTTGAACGCAATTACATCACCGAAGCATATGTAATCTGATCTCGATGTAGAATCTGACCAAATAAGATTATGCAACGCCCCTGATTCATCTACCGAGTATGTCACAAAAAACCCGGGATCCTCATGTTTCTTATAATCAAAGTAAGCAATAAGCGCATTCACATCTCCATCGACGATTTCCTTTGCTTTACCTCTTTGAAGTGCATTGTAGAGGTCTTTATGTGTAAATCCAACATTATGATAGTCCCTTGCCTGCTGCGTTAAATAGTTCATTACTTGTGACGTGCCAATACCGACCTCTTTCAATATTGTTGCCTCATCGATATCAGCCTTACTTACACCTCTATTAGAACGCATAAATGGTGTCATAGCAGGTGTGCACAATGCATGATTATATTTCTGATAAGACTTACTTATAACCCACTGATCGTTTGTATTTGTTGTTGTAACTATGACTCTAGCCTTGCATCCTGTTCTTGTGATTGGCGTATGAGCACGTTGACGATCAACGATATTAACTTTTGATTCTCGAAACCTTTTTTTCGAACAACAAAATTCTTGTGTCTTCACATTCCCTTCCATGTCAAGCCATGTTGTTCCCCGACGTGCACTAAACCTATATTCCCGTACGAATCCCTTGTAAAAGTATCAAGCTTGATCACGTGAAGAGAAGAGCTTACTAACCAATATGTCAAATTCATCAACATTATGTACTTCATGGCATTCATCGGTTGGCTTAACATTGTCTGCATCAGTATGATTCATGGCAAAAATTTTGTTGTGCAATTTCAGTGGTCCTAACAGGAGTTGATGGAGATGTAAGTAAAAGTTCATTGAATAACATATTTTCAGTTGTGCTTTCAATAGGATGTGGTATTGGTAGTGGTAGTCGAAGGGTGGGTACAATATTAAATTTGCAGGACATATTCAGGTATGTACAATAACTACAACATTCAATAACTTTAAAGTAATAGATAAAATTACAATGTAGGTGGTTAAAATATACTTTTTTAATGACAAAATTAGTAAACACAAAGATTTGTTTCGATACATATGTAAATATATGTGTCGATACATTTTCCAAAAGTATCGACCCCAAAAACATCGAAACAAATAATTATAATGTAATAGGTAAATTAACAATGTAACCAGTATACATATACCAGTTAATTATAAAACATGCCAACATAACGTATCGACACTATTATAATTTGTGTCGATACTTATTGTCTAGAATGAATGTCCAAACGACAGGCACGCATAAAGTGTCGATACATTTACAATGTAATCGGTAGAAATATACCGGGTTAATGACGAATAGGTCAATATAAAGTATCAACACTTTTTAAATTTGTGTCGATACACTTGTCCAGACGAGGTGTACGCATAAATTGTCGATACATTTATAAAAAGTATCGATCCCATCACAATGAAACCGATAATTATTAACAGGCTACAATGTAACTGGTAAAAATATACCGATTAATTAGTAAATATGTCTACATTATGTATCGACACTCTTTAAATATGTATCGATACTTTTTTTCCAAAATGAAAGCACAAACAGGTGCACACATAAAGTGTCGATACATTTAAAATTGTATCGATCCCAAAAATATCGAAACCGATAATTATAATGTAATAGGTCAATTTACAATGTAACCGGTTGAAATTTATCGGTTTTATAAGAAAATAGGTCAATATGAGTGCTACCTATTACATTATATAAGCGCTACCTAATATGTTATTGTACTTGATAATATTTCCGGTTAAATGCCTATTTTATTATATAAGCGCTACCTATTACATTATATAAGCGCTACCTAATATGTTATTGTGCTTGATAATATTTCCGGTTAAATGATATAACATAACCGGTCTAAATTTTAACCGGTCTAAATTTTAACCGGTCACGCCGTTTTTAGGCGCCGCACAGCAGAAGTACTCAGTTGTTGCTTGACTAGACATGGAGCGAGAAAGAGTGTGCACTAAAGCCTTTAGGATGCGTTTGGTTCACGGAATGTAAGATTACCAGTGAGAATAAAAGATTACCAGATAATAGGATTACTGGGAATGTTGTATTTTGTGTTTAGTTGGTTTAGTAAGAATGTAAGATTACCGTATTTGGTTAAAGGAATAAAAGATTATTGGAATGTATATTTTACCAAATTGTCCTTATTATATATTTATTTTTTAACAAGTTGAATTCTACTATAATATTACTATAATTAATTTATATATATATTTTTAAAATTTTAAATTCAGAAAATTTATATAATTTTTTTTACAAAATTGGAAAGATAAATAGGTTTAATGAAATGGTCAAATTTTATTTTAACCCCTGAACTTCATATAAAATTCTAATTATGGATTTTTTTGCAAATCTAAAATAGTTTAAAGGTAAATTTGTAATTTAACCTTTGTATAATTTTTATTATTCAACGACAGAAGAAGGATAATTTTGAAAGAAAAAAAAATTTAAAGGGCATTTTAGTCCAAAACGCTGGTAATCCAATAATACATAAGAGAAGCGGGTAATCACATTCCCGATAATATACCCCAAAAAATCCACTGTTTGTAATAAAAGATTACCGGGAATAAGATTATCGGCCAACCAAACGGGGAAATGAGGATTTCATTTCATTCCCCTGGTAATATCTTATGTTGTGAACCAAACGACCCTTAACGAAAGAGTGTTGCTATCATCTCTGGGATTCAAATAGTAGAACACAACTGTAATAGTGGTCACTATTTTGTGGTAAGGCTATCGTTTGAAATTGATATTTAAAAAATCACGGAGGGTAGTGGAATCACGTCAGTAACGACCAGTTACGCCCGTAATTTAACAGATAATGGTATATAGCATCGATAACGAGATACTATTACTGTTATCTACCGCTACTGTGAAAAAAGGCAAAGCTGAAACCTTACGTGCATCGTCGAGCTTCTCTGTCGATGAAGAAGTTGAGCAGTAACGATGAACTTCCACTTTGTAGAAGATGAAACTTGAAACTTTTTTTTCTTTGTTTCAAAATATGAAAGGTCAGGGGAGGGGAGAGTTGAGAATGTATACCACATAAGTTCCAGGTGGGCCTAGTGAAGAAGCGCCAAGGCTAGGAGCAGGTGCCTCGGTTGATGAAGACGGTGGTCTCAAGGCCACTGGTGATAGCGCCGGAGACTTGGCTTTCGGCTTGCTAGGTGTCGGTGCTGAAACCGTGGCTAGTGGGGATTTGAGAGTGAAAACAGTTTTTTTTTGTTTCAGAAAATGAAAGGTCGGGGAAGGGGAGGGGGTGTTGGCACATTTGGTTTATTTTTTTTTTATTTTTTAAAATAATTTTAAAATATAATTTTAAAGGATATATTAATTTAACATCCCTCCAGCCTTTTAAAATTTATAATTTAATTCATAGTTTAAAATGTAAACTTTAATTTTTATTTAATTTAGTCCTAATTTCAGTAATATAAATTTCTGCAATTTAAATTTTATATTTTTATTTTAACTATATTTAAATTAGTCATTTTAGGGTAAGTTGTGCGATATTAAAAAAAAATTCACGACTGCTACACCTGCAATGACCGCAATAACATCCGTTATTTTCGCAATGTCATCCGTTATTTCCACAACCGTGAAAAAAACAACGTGACCAGAAACGTTACTGCAAACGCTATTTAAATCCCTAATCATCTCCTCCTTTTCTCACAAATAATCCAAACAAGATTGAGTAGATGGACCAGTGCCATGAGCTACTTAGATCTAAATCAGCTAGGCAACAAAGCTTAACCGCTGCTGCTCAGCTCATTGGTTCTCCTTTTCCTTATTCCCCAAAGTGCATGGATTTAGTTCTTCAACAACAACAACAACAACAAAATGATACTCGGAGGTTCTTAGTAACTAGTCCCTTCCTGTTCTTAATCCTTTGGTGTAACTCTATATAGCAAAGCTCAAAATTTTCATTTTTGGTTTCAAACTATAGGGTTGCAGACTTGCAGCTGCTGCTTTGATGATGCGTGCTGATATGAACAAGTTCAACTCTTTCGGGCAGGAATGGTTAACCCTGCATCAAGGCAGATTTTTCCAGCTGATAGCACCTTCAGAGAGGAGGATGTGTCGAATTATTTCAGTTTTTTTTAGTATGATGTACTTCATTAGATTGTAAAGAACGCACTTAATTGCTAAAGCTATATTGTGTTTCTCCATGAAGTATTTATAGACCTGTTCAAGATGTGAGGATACCATACCAGCAAAAGAGAATGTTTGGCTTTAATACTTTTGTTACAAGGAGAATAGGAAAATCCAAGACAAGTACTGGCAATTTCCTTGAAATATTTGAGAATCCTTATTTTCCAACGGTTTGCCTACTTGATCTTTGATCTTTTAATGCTCTTTGTTATCTTGCAGGAAGCAACAAACAGAAAGAGGAGAGTTCTCTCCTTGTGGAACCCCCACTGGCATTAATTTGCAGCAAGCCCTTGAGCTTCAGAATAGAAGGTTAATCGATCTGCAACTCCTCGATGTTGAGAAGCATCGACATTAGAGGGGCTCTCCTAGTGGAAGTCCCATTCCATCACCTGATCGGTCACCAACCTTTGCAGTCAAGAAGCTCTGCGGGGTACCCTGCATTCAGTTACTGCAATCGCTCATAATCTAGTAGTCTCATCGGCTTAGGTCATATGAACATCATTTTATACTGGAATGAGTAACCGATTCACAATACTCCATCGCAGGAATTGTTCTAGCTCAATGCCAGCTATATTGGTCACTGCTGCCCAGAAACAAACAGCCAGTACTGCTAGTTCTGCTGGTAAAGAATCGGTCGGTACTGAAGAGAATGGTAGTTCATCTGTATGATCTACCAGAAAGGTAATCATGTAGTTCATCTGTATGATCTACCAGAAAGGTAATCATGTAGTTCATCTGTATGATCTTTAAGGTTTGATATCCTCTCCAGGAGTTGTAAAATATTGTATCTTTCGTAATTAATTGCATAGTGGAGCACAGCCTTCCTGATAGTCCTTTTGCATCACCGGCGAAAGCCTCCGGGGATAACTCGGCTTTCCCCAATGCCGATATAGAGAAGGATTTCTCCGTCTTAGCTTCTTCTGCTAACAATGATCGGATTCACTCAACCTTAATTCCTGCAAATAATGCATTAGACGTGGCATCCATAAACTCCTTCAACTGCCAACACCCCAGATAGGGTCATTTGTTAGTCGGTGAACACCTCTGATCGGTTTAATAACACTATCATTACAGTTATAAACAGATTTATAAGGTTGGAAATACCGTAAATGAGAATGATTTGTGCCCCTGAATTCAGGTTTTTCGTCCGGACATGGGATCATCTGTAATTTGAGTTTGAACCACACAGTCAAATGTGTAGTTGTAATTTCTGCCCCATAGCTGGTTTATTAGGGTAAATAATTGTACAGCTTTTAGTATATAAGCAGGGGAACAAAGACACAAGTACAAGAAATTGTCTTTATGTTAGAATCTGTCCTGCAAAAAGCAAAAGCAAGGAGTTGGATTTAGAATTTATAGATATTGCCATTGATTGAGGAGGAACAGGAAATGCCAAACGACAAATGATGCTGGTGGCCGACAGTAGAAATGGGTCCTTGCCACCACAACAATGGCAGTGCCCCCATGTGACCGAGACTGAGCGATCATTCATACATCCTGTTGTATTAGGCTTGGTTACTCCATTGGTTCAGTTAATGATCAAATTAGATTATCTAAAATCGAATTAATCAAACTCTGTAAACATTTAACCATTAATCAAATTGATTTTTTACCCCAGAAGTCATGGAGGTAGCCATATTTCTCACTTGGAAAAGTATGCAGTGCAGTACTTGGTTGGATAATTAGCTGTGATATTATTGACCTTTCTGGTTTAAGAAAAAAATTCAAGCCTATACATTGTACTTACAATAATTGAGAGGCATTTACTACTATATGCAGCTAAAACATTTACCTACATGCTGCAGGTATTTCTCTACATGTTATTGTGAGTAAGGTATTGCCTTTTGAAATATTCTTTGCCAGGAGCAAGCATTGGCAAGGGACCGTAACTCGATTTTCTCGGCGCAAAAACTTTCCATCGTGAACTGAAATGAGCTTTCCACTCTCCATGTTTTGAATAATGCGGCGAGTATTGCTTTTACGTCGACACGAACTGTCTCGCAGAATTCTAAATTTCTTTTGTTCTGAATTAGTATGTGGTCTAAGCCATCACTTCATGTTGAAGAATGTACAGCAGAAGAAAGAAATGCCACTAAATAGAAAACATTTTCTTCTGGTTTTACAACTGAAATTCTATTGTCCCTCCTATAAGCAACATTAAGTCATTAATTAACACTATGACCAATCAAAGAAACTCATTAATGTTAAGAGATTTTTTTTTTTTTGAAAAATGAAAGTTTACTTCGATTTATTAACATGGTAGATGAGAATGGGGCCATTGCTTGTATCAGTAAGGATATTGCCACTGACATGTTGAGCAAATATTTGGATTTTACTGATTGGGATGAGCAGATTAAGCCATGGATGTGGAACTTCTGATAAACCTTTCGACCTTATTTTGATCTCAGAAATGTGAACTCGGTCTAGAAAATGTAGTGAACTTGTGATAGAAAAAGTGTTAACGGAACATGGTTTAACTGAGATAATGAAGTCTTAATTTCCTGCATAGTGAAAACAAACATAAGTGCTTCCGTTGATGTTACAGCATCTATCTTTTCTCGGTTGAAGTAATATGCCAATTCTGAGCAGAAAAAAGTTCTTCCATCTGACTCGAATTTGCTGGCTTGAACTGGATCTTGTGGTGATTGAATGAGGATATCCAATTATTTAAGAGACCTGTTCTGTTTATTATTACAAACCCTCTAATGTAATCAAACGTGCTTTCTCGGGATATTAACTTCCCTTGTTCCTTGGCAAATGTGGCAAAATCTGTGTACAACACTCAAATCCATTTTCACCTGTTAATGAAGGAGAATAGTCACAACATTTGTAATTTCAACTAAACTAAGACCTTGTAGTTTAACGCTTGCCATTTTTAACATTTCCGGTGCTGGTTCCGGTGATATTCTAGCCCGTGTGATACCAAACTGACCGAATCCTCCAAGAATGCTGTAAAAGAGATAAGTGTTTTGTTTCTCTGAGCAGTGAACCACTTCTTTCCCTGCATTCATTCATGTATCCGGAGGAACTTGTATGAAGTTCAAACTTGGCACCCAGCTTGTCGATATCTACAACTTTGTGCTCAATAATTATATCTTGAATATGAACACCTTTATATACATCTCAAATTAACCATGATATCTCCCATATTCATTTATAGTTTGGAAAACCACGATATCACCAGGGTTTCAAATAGCGGTAGCACATGCAAAATAGCGGTTGCGCTGCCTTTAGATATACCCACTATACCTGCAATAACGCCCGCTATGGCCGCACTCACGGTTTGAATCCCTGGATATCACCCTTACAAAATAACAAGAGAGGTATTTCAAGTCTTAAACCATTTCTCTGGACCCAAAAAAGTTTCCAAATCGCTTAAAAGAAAATCAACAAAAACTTCAGAGGAAGCCTTCAGTGAAATATCAGAGCCAAGTTTCCATCCTGGGATCTGTGAGTTATGGGCCCACCACGCTTCCGCTGCGCCACTTTGATTGTTGAAGCCTGTTAAATTTTAAACTGACCACCTGGTTAACACGCATGCTAACATTCAGTGAATTGTAGTTGCGTATGATCTGTATATTGTTTATTGTTCCTAAATATTTAGGAATATATTTAACATATGCTCATATATATATATTCATTTAATACTTTGAAATAATAATTAAATTAAATATATATCAAATATGGGAACGATATTATGACATTTTTTGTTCTAATAAAGAGTAAACGATAAAAAGAATGACTAGACACCCACTTTATGTATTATCGACGTTACCGCTTCTGGGAGTTTCAGAAATTGTTGCAGTCCGCTTGGGAGCACTGGTGCATGTTTGACTCGATCATCAGCCACCTTATTTATTTCCCTCGATATGTGTTCGAGCATCAGTTTCTAGTTGCGCTTCACTATATCCTTTATCAGCATGGTTAAGGTACGTTTTCCTTTGCATGGGATAACTTTTTGTATCAGTTTGACAGTCTCTTTACTGTCTGACTTTACTATCACTTGCTTTTTTCCGAGTTTCCAAGCTCATCGGTGACTTTCGTAATTACCCCACTGTTTAGCCTCAAGGATGGAGCAAATCGTAATGTTTCTTGTGAACCCTATTCTCCAGTTGCCTTTATAGTCACGTATTGCTCCCCCACATGTTGCTTCGCCAGTCAGGGGTTGTCGTGCTGGTATGGGATTATGACATTGATCCTCTAAATATATATTTATGCTGAACACATATTTTAAATGGATGTTTGTAATTATACATTATACTCAGTTTGAGTAATATGTTCACCGAGAGAATTGAGATTGTCATCTATTGTTCTACAATGAACATATTGTGACAGGTCTTATCTTCTGTATGGCTTAAAATGATAAAATCTTGAAATTCAGAACCAAAAGTTATCGATTCTCATCAAGTTTCTTCTTTAACTATCTCCAAGTCCTCAACGTATTGGACTGTATTAAACAGTTGGCATGCATCTCTCCATTTTTCTTCTCAAATAACCTGTTGGTCAACAATGTATAAGAATCTAAATCAGGCCACGGTGCAATTCCTATAAGATTATCCCATATTTCGATTGGATCCTGCTTCATGAATATCCCTAATAAGATGTTATAAGCATGCAAATTCAACTCACATAATTAGTCTTCATCTTCCTATAGATACAAATTCAAAGCACCTTCGACATCCTTCCTGCCAGTATACGAACCATATTAAAAGGAATTTAGGGAATTAAAGGTTACTTAATCTTGCACGAATACGAACCAAATTATTTCTTGGAGATATAATCTCAGGCACTGCGCATCGGAGCTAATCGATCAAATACCATTACTCTGGGCCCAAAAAAAAAATGACATCGGAGAAAGGAAAATCAACAAAATATTAGAAGAAGCCTTCTATGATATATCAAAGCCAAGTTTCGATCCTGGGACATGTGGGTTATGGGCCCACCACGCTTCCGCTACGCCACTCTGATTGTTGGCTTATTTTCGAGTTTATAAATAAATCATTTCTACTTAATACAAATGCTAGCATTGAATGAATATATAGTTGCGAATGTTTTTTATGGGTTAGAAAAGAATTGGGGGGCCTACATCTGCTATGACCTGTTTTTATGGCTTCTCCATTCTTCTTACATGCTTTCCACTTCATTTTTCGTACACAATTCTTCATTTTAGGCTTGATACTGATATGAACAAATCTGATTCACATGGTACATAGTGTGATGTTAGAGAGGCAGTGGCTGTGAAGAATTTAGCTTGATTCATTCAAAATAAGCTGATAATATATAGGTATTTATGTCTATTCTTGGACTTTATGTTTTATGGTTCATTTTGATTTAGGTGGAAAGCTGATGATGAATCTGCTGCCAATTGAAACAGAATTGAGAGTGAACTTAAAGAATGTGTTTAACATGCAAATAAGTACTTGTTTTAAGCCTGGAGGTGGTCATATTTTCAACATTGATGGAGAAACCAATATAGGATTTATGATAATGCTTTGAGCAGATAATTCAGTTGTATTTTTGTAGAGAACTTTCCGTTTAAAAGATAAGAAAACGAACATCTCTATAACTTGTATTGTGCAGTGACATAGGGTTGTCTCAGCTTCATATGCCTAATACTTCAGTTGTATTTTCCCTTTAAAGGCACTGCACTCTACTTTCCAATTGCCATA